GACCGTTTTCCGACCTCATTCCTGCACAAATGGTATCAGAGAGGGCGTCGAATTCGTGCAAATCTCCGAAACCATTTTTTCGTGAACAGTGCCTTTAACTGTTGTCTCCATCAGATAAGCATTCGTTTGTCTCCCTACATTGGAGCGCCGGGACCAGAGCTCCGCTTTTCCCATCCTATTATTTCCTTCTATTCTTTCTAGGTGTTCCTATGTAGGGAGACAAATGACAATGGTGCTCCATTAGGAAACTGCCTTCGACGCTTCGCCTGGCTTTGATTTCTACACCAACTGACCAGTACATCCAATCCACCAACAGGGGTACTATCCAGTCCAGATCAGTCAAAAATTCCGTTTCCTTTCTCTACCCTCCATCCTTTTTTTTATTAATTTTAATCCACCCGGGAATCCCCTGGAGGACTCAGAACTAATCTGTTTCGTCCGTAGCTTCTACAGTACATTCGATGTAGAATGAGGAGAACATGGCGCATCCGCATAAGTTGAAGCTGAAAGACACTATATTTAATTCGTTAAAGATTGGACTATGCAATCACTGGATTTTGCAGGTGTATATGGACTACTATCATTTTCTGCCAATCTACCATCTGTTCCTTTCGTATTTCCGAATTGTGCTCACCGAAAGTAATTGCGCCATGTTTTCGTCAATGCTCCTGATCGTACTCGCCACCACTGAGCGACTTCTACGAACGTTTCACGGCGATACCATTTTGAAAGCGAGAAGGTAGGTGCTACTTTGGTGGTATCGGGAATCTTAACTATTCGAACAGGGATAATTCATATTGGGTGAGCCATTCCTTGGTTTCATCCAAAAATTCTCATTGTATTTGATCATTTTCATGCTCTTGATTACATAATTAGTCAGCACTTGGTTTCTGGGAATACAATTTTTGATTATTGTGATATTTAGCCGTGTATGGCACTTCTTCAAAAGAACACAGTTGTTTGTGACAATTTTCATCATTCCAAGAACAATTTGTCGTGAACGTCCATTGCTTTTGTTTTTTGCCGAACTAACTGATTAGTCTAGGGAATTCTGCGATAGAACTACGGTAAAGAAGAGAAAAAGCTAAGAAATTTTTCCGACGATTCTTCCCACGGAGGAAGGTTTTTAACATTTCTGGTAACTATCACTTGATTAGTAGTAGCTGGAAAAAAGTATTGTTCGCAAGAATGTTTCCACTATCACAAGCACGGCAAGCGGAATTCCATTGAAGTGAAGGGGGGCACATTATGTACGTAGGTGTAATCATAAGGCAAATGACCCCTCTGAGCTCATCTTTCGTTCTTTATTAGCTAACGCTTGGTTGTTGCTCTTTGAAGTACATATGTCGGTAGATCCAGCCGTAAAAGACGACGAAAAAAGCCGAAAAATAAACTAAAATAAAAAACAAACCAAACTAAATAAATGAAAGAAAATGAATTTTCAGATTTCTGGAAAAACATCGACCAGCCGTTTCTGCAGGATGCATTTTGTTTGCCGTTGCGTATAAGTTCTGTAATTACTGGGAAATTGATGTGATGTGGAAACCGATGTGCGAAGAAGGATGGGGGTGAGATTCCCTTTTTGATTTCTACTAAATCCATGTACCTTCGAGGTTTTGAGGATGCGGAGGGCTTGTGATAATGTAATCGTTGGTGGCGACCGTAAAAATGTTTCTATGGTGATTCCCAAGGTAGATTCTTCGTAGCTTTCCAGGTTGATAAAAAGCTTGGAGAGCACTCAATAGATGCGATCGGGTAACACTGATCAAGACTCCTAAAGACTTAGGAATTTTTAAGTATCACTTTCCCCTTTCCTCAACAAGATGGGTACCAGATGGGTTGCATCATGTTCCGGAGTAGAACTCAGGCGAGTAACCCTAGCCTACGACAGCCGCTACCAATGTCATCAGCCTCGACTCTGTCTGATTGTTATTCAACACTGACGGTGACAGCATCGTTTAATTTCCCTTCGTAGCACCAGTTTGTGGTACTTTTGTTCCAATGCCAAGAAGGGACATTCGTTGGCACGCAGCTCAACAGACATAAAAATTACTTATTCGAGCTCTATCGGCTGTACGGTATAGCCTGGTAGGCAACTATTATTTGAAGCCTTCCAAATGCTTCCTTTTCAGGCAGTACGAGATCATTGCGGGTCCACTGACGGCTTATCATAACTACCGCTTTTGGTGGATGTTCATCACTCGCAACGCATTGGATCGGATTTTGCCTTTCTTCGTTCTTGTCGCCATGAACTACCTAATCATCAAGGTTTGTGGTGCTTTCATTCCATGTTTAATACTATTTATTTGTACTTATTGGCCATCAATTTTTGAAAATCTCTATTTCTTCGATCATTTTAAGTACACTTCAGTGTTTCTAAAGTCTAAACAGGCTATAAATAGTGCGGAATTTTTACCAACTCTGGACCTCCGCGCTTGCTGTTGACCACCATAGCTTAATTTTATAACTCGGCGTCCTGAAATTTTCAAATTCACCTAAAAGTTAGAGCTTTTTGGCCTTTTTTGGTTTTATCCCTTGTATGACCCTGCTCGCTTTCTTGAGGTTTTATTGCGTGTCTGGATGAAACGTGACCTGAACTTTTAGCTGCTAACGTGACTTAAAGTACTAGTTACTACTTGAGTTTCTGTTTCAATACCATTTTAGGCATTAGAAAAGGAATATCGCCGTCAGAGCTGCCTTGAACCCAAACAGGGATCTTTCAGTAAGGAAACTCCACATGGTCGTGCTCAACGGGGCAACTTAAGGGTGAGCTTGCGAATTTTGGTTTGAATAAAATCAAGTTACAATCTGAAAACTCACATTTTAAGGATGCTACAAGGGCTCTGATTAGCGTCGTCTCAATGTATCTCATGTCACAGTCGCTGCAGGTACAAAAATGAAAAAGCCTCTTTGTATTAGAATGCAAGAAAAAGTTACTTTTATTACAAATGAATAAGTAGTTTAAGAAAATGGGATATCGAGGGAGCTTGGTGTTATTGGCATTCCAAATATTCGCTTATGAATTTTGCATGCTTATGTTTACATTTTTACTTTGGGGATGAAAGCTTCATCGCCATCTTTAGGTGGTGCTGACATTTTGGGAAACATTTGATCGAGCAAGTCTGGAATCCGAAGACCTCAATGTCGTTTATTCCTACCTGAACGACATCGTTAGCATTCTGACGCTGTTGTCTAGGTACGGTATTGATTTTTGCGACCGTAATGAACCGTAATCGACGTACCGTACTTTAGCTGCCTTCGGTTTCCTGTGTACTGTTCCTGTAACAGGCTCATTTATTCAGCTTCGGCAGCTACTCTCAGTGAAATGAAAAAGTTCTGCTATGGACAGAAAAAGGAGGAACGAGGTTAGTGAACGACTACAGCTTCGCTCTACCGCAATGAACCACGCTGAAGTGTAAGCAAAAATGACAGGTGCTTGTAGCCCGGCCGTAATTAGGTGGGAATTTCTACCTAAATAATTTCCTGACCTCATGCATGTTTCTCTTTTCGACTTCCCCCTGCCCGAGCAGCTGGGTGGAGCGGTGGCATGGGAAGGGTTTCCTAGCAGGTTCCTTTCAAGACCAGGGGTGTCGTAATGGGAGACTGATCAGATTCGGCTACCATAGTTCCACAGTTTCATGGATGAGTGAGTAGCCTGAAAATTCGTCGCGCTGGTGTGCCGCTAACAGCAAGCAGTACCTTCGCTCTTGAACCTATTAGCACATTCTCGTTACAGTCCTTGTGTAATGTCTCACCAAGACCCTATTACAACGAGAGACGGGCATTAGGAACGATTTTGGGTAATCGATTCGCCGCACGCGGCTGTCGCGGAACACTCATTCGCCGCTATTACAGCTCTAGCGTTCTTCATACAGCTCAATCGATATGCGATCATTATTTTATGCATAATTCTGCTATTAGTACTTTTGTTCTTGTATTTTTTACCTACTGCTGTATCCTGCTACATTCCTTCGCGCGCGACGCCCCTTTCATCGCGACGCGATCATTTCGATCCTAACGCACCACACTACAACTGAGACAGCAAAGGACAAAGATTTACTATACCATGAATGTTACACCTTTTTCTTGTACTGACGCCAGAATTTGACTTCTGATTTCTACCTCGGATTGTTCCATTAAAATTCAATGAAGTTTTCTTTGCAGAATACATTCCAATAGCTGACGACCGTCGTTCCTCTCCTGTGAATGGAATCCAGGTGAGGCCTATTGTATCTGAACTCCACGATGAGGTCTTCCCTTGTTGCTTGAAAACTAACCATTCAATCTTGATTGAGAGTGAGCATAGAAAGGATAATTTTCAGACGTATTTGAAAAAGAAGCCGGAAGAGCCAATTGCCCAAACCGAGCCCGAAAACTCTCAAGTCACAGGAGCTGTCTACATCGAAGAGCTCCATGAATGGAAGTTATGACTGAGGCCGAAAACTCACCCACTCCCAATACTTTTTTTTTGAATTCTGTAGATTCCCAGTATTTTACAAGTGCTTGATGTCATATGAAATTAATTGACAGTTACTTTGATTTGATCTCTTCTCAGTTTACGGGTGTGTACTCAGCGGCCGGTCCAAATAAATCTTATGTATTCTCGCTGTTACAAGGAATATAGGCGATAAATTTACCTTCCAGCCTTGTCTATTTATTATAGATGAAACGAGGACTGGTCTCGAGATTAATTATCTGAAAGGGAAGACGTGAAGTATATGCAAGGTCCGATCACCTAGTTGGTCGAATCCCGGATGATATCCGCCTACGCTATCCAGGTCTACCACGTCTCAGGGGTAGGCCTGGACAGAGTAGGCTGATATCATCCAGGGTCTTCACACCAGACTCTCTTGGGAGGAGAAAAGCACTGATTTATACATTGGGTAACCATCCAAATCATTGTCCATGCAGAAATCCATGCAGGCATATAAAACGCCACTACGATTTTGATGAAAGGCGAATGAACAGGCTCATCCCAAAACAGGATTAAGTAACCCCGGAAAGTTCATCCTTCTATCCTTCAATTATCCAAAAACCGTGGCCCAGTTGTGCATCACTTTTCCTGTGGGTTCTACTATCTACTGAAGTTAGCACTCAACCCCAAATTTAGTGGTGAAACTAGCATTGATTGAGAGTCGATCCATGAACAAACCGCATGATAGCCATGACACTTTCCGCTGCCCCGTGTTTATGTACTTACATGTTTTTGTGGGCAGTGGTATGTCTTTTTTAGCAAGCTGCTATTCTCCTTATATACCCCACCGTTGATATCATATCGCCGTTATATGATGTAACTATCGTGGGCTGCCTGCAAATTGCTTTGATATAACGCCGATCATAAGAAACCAATGAACAAAGTGACTCAAATATACTAAATGCACGATTGCATGTCGTATTTTCAGAGGGAAGAGAGATTTAAATGGGAATTGCAGTAGCTGGGAAACTGATGTGCTGTGAGGAGCTTGAACTTCTCTCCTATCGCCATTTACTGTCGGTCTATGTGTACCGGTAAAAGTTTATATTTGCAAACATCGCTAATTTCAATCATTAGAAAGTATTTTGGCAAAATTTTATGGCTTACCTTTGTGAGGGATCCCGTAGAAAAAAATTTCAATCTTGACGAGAGGCTCATCCCTTCCTTCAAGAGGTAAAAGAGTGTCGGCAACAAAACTAGTCAAAACATCTTGCATGGATGTCTCCACTTATTCTTTTGCCAATATCCGTTTCCTCTAGTAGGACGTCATGGATGTTGATACAGTATGCAGTCTACATGTAGATTACATTTAGAATTTATACATCCTAACAAATAAATGTTCCGACAGAGGCTCTCATTGTGGGACCTTCAATAGGAACAGGCCCATATCTTGAATGGGCCAAATTTCATATAATATTTTCTCTGCTACTCTGTGGAAAGACGCCAAGAAAAATGTCGCATCGCCAAACTTACTGCAGAGAACTTGGTAATGCTACCCTGCTGAAGAGTACCCAGCAAATCCTTGTTGGGTGAACCACTGACGGTATCGTGTTTAGAATCCTTCAAATGAAAGAGAAAAACACTCGGTTTTCGACGACTCGACAAATCTGTACTCTTTTGCCTTGACCGTTACATCCAACTTCTTCGTAGTTCGAAGGTTTTAAATGGTCATGGTAAAGCTGGTGTTTCAACTGTAACAGCTCGAATGCACCTCCGGGACTTTCACTTTTGGAGGGGTATTTCAACGAATAGAACCTGCCATGTCTTTTTTTACGCTGTACTATCAACAAATTTGAGAACAGCCGTCCTAAGCGAATGCTAAGTAGGTACGTTGGATTTGATTTATAACACTGTTGTCCAATTTGTCAGCATACTATGTTGTTATTTCCTATTTCCGCTTGTACCATTATGTAAATGAACTCCGAACTGGATCACGTGCTGATCAACTTGAAGGGTAGACTTCTTATCACCGTTTTTTTCCGTTCTCGGGATGGCTCCCGAGAACGGAAAAAACGGCTTCTATCAGATTCGTAGTGGCGTTTGAATGTACATAATGACTACGGTGGTCAGCCGATGTACAAGTCAGTGTCCACAGAAGAATCTGCTTTTAACCAACCAACTCCGGATAGCTGGACGGTTTGATTAGTCCGGGCGAGTATCGATTTGGAGTTCGGTTCTTGGACCATGATATGTGTGATAGTGCCCTACACGACACTTCACTAGTAGATCGGCCGTGTTGATGTGCATGGAAATGATGAAACAACGACAAGATGGAGGCCGAGTATTGTACTGCAGCTTATTATCCGAATTGAAATTCATGGCTCAAAGCTGAAGGACCTTGATATCTTCCCTTCCCAAGTTTCTTACTTTTTTTCAAGAATGGATT